CTACTGCTGCTGCCGGTTTAACATCGCACGTGTTTGGGCTATTTGGCGAACTGCACGCGATGCGATGGACAGCCAGTTCTGAAGAAAAACTGGGACATACATAGCTAGGTGCCAAAACGTAGGAAGGTGAAGCGGGGAGCGGTTGGTGGGGGTGATCGAGCGTGATTGCGGCCAGTTGCGCCTGACTGGGGAGACGAAAGCAAATTTCGAACGCTGGTATCGTATACTACGAAAGTTTTCCTCATCTGGCTTCCCTTCCCAAATGAAACTGCGTAGTGTTTGACTCGTCGTGCATCTTGTAAAGCTACACAGAGCTGGGACAGTAGTTAATTTCACAAATACTAATTATCATGTGACTGGATCAACTGTTGCTTTAGATTTATGAAACGGAGAAGCCGATACCTCTACTCCTATACCTCTCACTGCAGACAGATTCGCCTACATTACTCAATCAGTAATCTGCGTTTACTCTCGCTAGAGAAAGCAGGCTTCAAGTTTAGACTTCACACTTACATGCAATGAATAAGAGCGAAAAAACTTGATCCATTACATTTAATCCATCCTCGTTCATTGTTTCCAGGAATAGCGCACGCCTCAACGTCACGACACGCCTTCCCGTCGCATCTCACTTTTAACTAATCATTCCGTCTGAAGCGTTGTCTACTGATTCACTGCTTGCAGCCCCTTAAGTATCAATCAATCAATCACTGATGTAGTTTATCTGTCATTCGTGCAACGTGACGAGCCCATTACCTTTTGTTCAAAACTGGCACAGCTTCACAACTGATCATTCACAGGCATCTTCTAGAATGTTCGTCTGCGTCCTATTCCTGATCGAAACTCTGAGCATCCTTCGCTGCCACACAGGACATGCTGATTTCGCAAACGTACACAGTAACTTGTCATTTGCTACACTGCAGTTCAAACCGCAAGGCATAGTAACCGGCAATTTTCAGGTTTCAATGCTGTCTGTGTTGACCAAAATGCAGCAACGACGAATGAAACGACTTGCTTTGGTAATCGAAAGCGCTTCAATGTTACGGTGCAATGGAGCAGCAGAGGATTTACGATGACCTT